TCGCCCACGAACGGGTTGTCGGGCGGCACGCGGTAGGGTGGGCCCTGCGCCGGGCGCTCCACGTCGATGCGCAGCACTTTGCCCAGCAGCGCTGACCTGCGGACAGGAGGAAACATGTGCTGCCTGCTGGGAACCTGACGGCCGGGGTCCAGACCCCAAACTCGACCTTTCTGACTATCTCTTTCCCAAGCCCTTTTCCCATTTATTATTTTATTTATTCATTTCTTGTTTTGAGACAGGGTTTCGCTATTGTAATTCCGGCTGGCCTCCAACTCATGGCAATCTTCCTGCCTCAGCCTTCCAAATGCCGAGATGACAGGCGTGCACCACCATACCCACCTGGGGGGAACAGGGTCTCACTAAGTCACCCGCACCGGGTTAACTCTGGCTCTTTACCACGGCGCTCTGTGGAACCTCGGTGTCCTGAATTATACCGTTGGAGGGTCCCACTCAGGCCCGCGTGTCACACATGTACAAGCTGAGGGGTGCAGACTCCCCGAGGAACCTTGGACGACCACCATTCTCGTGCAGTCCCTGGCCAGTGGTTGGCACACACTAGGTGAGTGTGGAGTGCCGATGAAGGGGTGCTTTGGCATCAAAGCCCAGTGCAGCAGAGGGGGGACAGAGAAGGGGGCCGCACCTGACCAGGGTGACAGCTGGCAAGACTCCACTTTGAAGTTAGCAGGGCAGGGAACTGGCCCTGGGGTCTGAGGTGCCCGGGCTCCTCTCCTACTGCTGGCCTCTGTCGCCCAGGCCACACGGCTCAGCCTGGCCAGAGCTCCCAGCCTGACAGCAACGCAATGCTCCGGCCTCCATATGATTACCTACAAATCCAACCTCTGTGTTCTCGGCTTCATCTCCAAACACAGGGCATGCACATGAGCCTGGGACACCTTGCACAGGGAGGTCTGAGCCACAGACCACATGCGTGCCCGCGATTGTGGTCAGCTTCGCCCTGGCTGTTTTCACTTTCCGGCTGAGGGAGGCTTTGTCATTTGGGCTGCGGGGATGGAAGGGCTGGCTCGATACACCCCGTCCACATTCACAAGACTTCATCTGTGCGTGTGTGATGTGTGTGCGCTGCACATGTGCGTCTGTATGAGCACGTGAGTGTGCATGCACACACATAAGGACTGTGCAGAGGGCGGGCCGTTTGATCAAGCCAGGCTGAGGCAGAAACCACATTCTCCATGCAGGTCTCAGGGGTCCCTGCAGAAGCCCTGGGTCTGGGGTCCCCCACCCAGTTGGGCCGGCCTTAGAGGAAGCCTCACCTCCCCAGGGGCAAGCACAGTCCCTTCCCCCTCAGGCTGCAGCCCTCTCTGGCTCATGGCAGTGAGTGACCTCCCAGGTGCCTGGCGGAGTGGGACCAGAGTCCCCCTGCCCCCCACTGCTTGGTTGAAGAAAAAGCCACCACACCACAAAGATCATGAGAAGCCGGGAGCCCAGCCAGCAAAGTGCACCTACTTGTTCTGAGCGTTTCCAAACTTTCCGAAGGGGTCTCCAGCCATCCCACCATCCCCAGTGAAGATGTAGAGGTAGCCATCATCCCCAAAGAGCAGCTGGCCCCCATTGTGGTTGGAGGCTGGCTCTTCGATCTCCAGGATTATCCTAAAGGAAGGTGAGCCCAGGACACACTCGGCCTTCTGCAAGACCACAGCAAAAGCCTTCTCTATCTTGGGTGTTGTTTCAAAAGGGAAAAGGGTTCCATATCCTTTGTAATGCATGCTTTTCAAGAGGACCTGGAGGCTCAGAGAGGTTGAGGGACTTGCTCAAGGTCACACAGCCCAGAGGTAGCAGAGCTGGGCAGAACTCAAGTCTTCTAGTTCTGGTCTAGGGTTTTCTGCCCTATTCTGCTATGCTCCTATAACTATGTGAAATTCTCAACCTGCTCCCTGGCTCACCCGGGCCCCCTGAGCACAGCTTCCTGCACACAGCAAGTCAGGCCTAGCACATTCCAATGAGCCCTTGCTGGTCAGCTACGGGGGCCCCTTGGTGTCGGTGGCCCTTGGCACCACACTGCCCTTGGGGATGTACCCGCCACCCTGCGGGAAGCCTTCCTGGGGCCGCAGCCAGCTGGCTTCTGATTGGCATGGCTGGTGGAAGAGAAGGGGGAGGAGGGAGAGGCCATGGTGGCCTGGCCAGCACTCTGCCCCTGTCCCGGGGGCAGCAGCCTGTGGTGGGACCTGCGGTGCTGCGCCAGCCCTTTCCCTGGCCAGCTGGCCAATCCCTCACTACAACAGAGCAAAGAAACCTCCATGCGAAAGGCCGAGTCCCTTGAGCCAGGTTCTGGATTAGATGAAATAGTTTTGTGTTCCAATTTCCATCTTTATCAGGACTCAATGTTTTTAAAGTCACTGTTGATACATCCATTCTGCCCCTCTGTCTTCCCTCTGTCATGTACACATGAGAAATGGTTTCTCTTGGAGAAATGGTTGTACCAACTCATGAGAATTATGATTTCTCTTTCTTGGGCTGCTAGGAAGCTCACAGTCAAAATCAGTGCTCTATGACAAGATCCATGTTAGCCCTCAAAGCTAGCATATTTGTTTCCTCTTCCTTTTTATATATTCAAGGTCAACATTGTACGGATTTATCGAATGCACAAAGTGCTGTTGTTTTCCTCCTTGTGCTCCCATAAACTGCATTTCCCATGCTCCTTTGCTAGCTGAGCCTTTCAGGCAATGAGCAGCCTTGGTAGGAGCCTGGTTTTGAGGGCAACTCTCCCGTGCCCCCGCGGGCAGCACCTTGGCCCCCTGCTGCACCTCCTCCTGGCTCCTGTCCCCACCCCCAGCCCAGCTCGCCCCAGCCCCTCCTTGTCTCTGCCCAGCCCTGGAAGGGGCAGCTTCCCCAGTAATTCAGGTCCAGGTGCAAATTTCCTGCTGGACTCTCTGAGCCAGGATGTATCTTCCCACAGGACCCAGAGTGACATGAGGGCCCCCAGGGCCAGGCTGGGGCCTCCTGTTTGGAAACAGCTGGGGCACAAGTACTCCAGCAGGGTGACAGCAGGAAGGCTCGGGGTGGAGGAGCTGACCATGGGGCAGGGACGCGCAGTGCGTGTGGGTGACTCTGGGTCCAGCAGGGCTCGATGTCCTGGCTGTGAGGCCTAACGTATCACGTCCCTCTTTGAGCCGATCCTGCCCGTCTACACTGGGAGCGAGCAATTCATAAGAATCCAAGGAAAGGCCGCGTCCGGACAGCTTGGGCCTTGGCGCCCCCCACCCTCGGCTCCGGGATCCCCACCTCTCGGAGCCATGGTCCACGCTGTTCTCGTCGTCCTGGGAGACGCGGAACTCGCTGATGCGGATCCACTCGCGGAGGTCGGTGCCCACGGAGTAGTACACGTAGAGCCTGCGCGCGTGGCGGAAGCGTGGGTGGAAGGCCAGGCCCAGGAAGCCGCGCTCGTCGCCCTCCCAGGGCGAGGTGAGCACTGCGTGGCTGAGGTTCAGGAAGGGCCGCTGCAGGCGCTCGCGGCCCGGCAGGTAGACCCACACCAG